ATATTAAATTTAAAATTAAACTAAAAATATGCCTAAAGCTATACAATATAAAGATGAAACCGTCGACATGACTGTACGAGCAGTAAGCATATCAATGTGGACAGGAGTAATGTTTCTTCCTAACGTTGCATGGTAACATGATGAACAGGGTGCTGATACAAAAATAGTTATGAGTTAGCCGAAATATTGGTTAACAGTTATGAACTAATATTATACAGTCAGTTTAAATTATGTACATACCAAAAACAGTAGAACAACAAAGTTGCAGGTTCAGACATTTCTACAAGATGCAGGGAGCGGTTACAAAGGAGGTGTGTTACCTTACACATCTGGAGCACAAGTGGTGACAACATATGATGCAGCCAGATGTCATTGTTAATTTTATCTATTTTAACTTTTAATAGATGAAGACCCATGCACAAATATATTATCTGCCTTATGGTTATAGATATTTTAATTAATTTAATTATACTTAGGGCTAAAAGCAATTTCTGTAATGACAACAAAAAATTCTGTTAAAAGTTGTTAGATTTAAAATCATCCAATTATAAATATATATTTCAATTTTGCCACTTAATTCAAAGAGCCTATATCACTTTTTAAAAATTTACTGAAATTTATATGTATAAATTTTAATTGGTATTTTTTTTTTCTTTTTTCTAGTAATAATCATCTGTTATAGCAAGAATCTAAGCTTTTTAAGACATTGAGTTGGAACAGCTGGTTGGATTCTTCCAAAATTCATGCAATATCAGGAATAGGAACATCTAGCCTCTATTAAATACAGCCTGTTGTGTCTCAACTATAATTTTGGAAAATTGTTTGGATTTTTGAATTAACAGCTGAGCTGTAATAAAATTGGCTTTACATGATGTGTGGATTTTTCTTAGTGAAATCAGATTGAAGACAACTAAAGATATGTGCAATGCAATAGAAATGAAATAATAATCTTCAAAATACCATTATATAAAGGTTGAAATGAATAACAGTACTCGTTTTCAAAGATGTATTTTGAAAATTTAAAGTAATTCTATCTAATTTAAAATAAAGATGCACACTTTTTCAATCAAATTACTATTAAAATGTTTATTTCGTAAACATATATTGAATATGTAATCAAACTTATGACCATTAACGGATTGTTTAATAATTCAGATTTATAAAATATATCATCACACTATGCAATAAATATAATTCATTACAACAAACTTAAGTTTTCATTTAAACAAAGCACCTACTTGAAGATTGCATTTTATACATAACTTGCTGTGCCTGCCTGGAATTCAATTTGGACTATAATGCATACGGCAGCACAGATATTCATTATTTTAAGCTACATGAAATAGGCACAAGTTCGGACATGTGCACTATATATCTTGCTGACCACGCGAATGTGCCCGCGCAGTTACCTATCATATATGTACACGTCTTGCCCCTCGCCACCCGCTGACACCAAAAATATGACGCTTACTTAGATGATGCCTTTTAATTTATATGAATGTTTAACGGAATAATATACAGCCTATGTCCACCCTGAAGGTCCATTCTAAATATTGGTGAAAGAATTTTTGAAATCGGATGAGTAATTTCGGAGATTACCTCCCATATCCAAACTTACAAACTTTACCTCTTTATAATATTAGAACAAGAACAAAGTTCTACCTTTGTCTATACTATCAGTAATGTAAAATAGTTACGAAAATCGTATACTAAACACCTAATTAAAATGACAAGTTTAATAGCAACACTTCTTGGCGACCTGATGTTTTCAAATAAGAATGTAATACCTAGCCATTGTTTTCAGTGAGTTTGAACTTAACGATTATAAATTTTAAAAAGTTCGTAATTGCATATTAAAATTTTCTGCTTAAACCCATAATTTTAGTTTTAAGTAAAATATCTAATCCGGTTAAATAAAATATCTAATCTGATAGATATGCCCGATAGTCATATTAAACTGATATTCTGCACTCGAAAGTACAGACGTGCTTCCCATTCGTTAAATTCCTACTAAATTTAATGAAATCCACCAGCTTGGCACTACTGGCGATGGCAGCGTGCTCTGTTTTGATCATTAACATTTGAATTTGTGCTTAATTATCATTACGTCATATTGTTTGAATCGTTAATTCATAAAAAATGTGAAAACAAAAAAAAAGAGAACATTTAATAATCAGACATTGTTTAGGCGCCTTACGTCGGATTAGAGATTAATAAACTTGAATGTAAGTGCTTGTGTTCGGTTTTAGTCATTGCTGAATTTGTATCAAACTTCAAATTACCTACTGTATTTCTACGCACACAAGAGTATGCTTTTAAAGCTTTACTGAATATACTTTTTTTTTTTTTAACAAGGTCAAAAGCATTATAACAAATAGCGATCTGCATATTACATTTTTCAAAATTGCTAACTTGTGCTGTACAATTCATGATAGAACCGTGGAATGTAATGTCAAATGAGTTTCGAAGATCAAATAGTGGATGAAAATCAAAGTTTTTATTCCAATTAGAGAAATCATGTCTTGGAAATTGTAGCAATGATCAAATATCACACTCAAAAAGAATTAAAGTATAACGTCGGCAAATGCAAGTCGTGCTCAGTTATAATAATCGCTAATGCCATTTATGAATTCGTTTATTTAAAAGATGATACTGGAGCAATTTTTCTACACCCAGTCGAGGTTTTTATAATTGTTAATACACCCACTAACAATCTGAATACTGATGAACTTTATAGCTCATTCATAATAATTGAAATTTATTTTTTCTGTTCTGAATAATTTTTTCTAAATATTTTTGAAGTATTAAACGTCCATTCACATCATCACTGTAACACAAGATTTAATTAGCCCACCTGGCTTCGAGACTAAAATTCACGCAATAATGTGAAAACTGCTCTAAAATGGTTTCTCATATGCATTTTATTATCGACGTTCCAATGAATTTCATTTTGGCCATTTTGATTTAATATGATAAAATTATTAGAGGTCGCGGCCGACGTTTTCAACGCGAAAACGTGTACGTCGGACGTTCAGCGCCGCCATCCTGTAAGCGTAGAAGTTTGGCGCTTGGAACCTCAGTGGAATCGTGCTCAACGTTCTAAACGCCGTTGTCAGACTTCTAGGCTTACAGGAAGGCGGCGCTGAACGTCCGACGTTCACGTTTTCGCGTTGAAAATGTTGGCCGCAACCTCAGAGAAACGAACGAATTTAAGGAGAAGAGCGCTAACTTCGAAGAAAATTCATTTATTACTGTATTAATCATGTAGTAATACTGTACTATCATATTACTAGACTAGTATTGCACCTTTAAGTTTACTTACTTTATATATATCAGCAATTTTCTTAACTGATTGTTGAAATTCAAAATATTGTAACATTTAAAGTCCGTTTATTATGGAATTCAAAGTAATTTATATATTTTCAAGTAAAAATTATTGTTTTAATCTTTTACTGTATTCAATTTCAGTTAAATTTCACAAGATACTTAAAATTATATTATAATAATTTTTATCAATATAATAATTTAATCTACTAGAATAATCTGTGCTGAACCCTTACGTCACACGAATAGCCCTTATTAACACTAGTGGAATCGACCTTTATAGACTCTTCTATGTCTGTACTTATGCAAATCCTTAATTGTTACTAAAATGTATTTACGAGACGTCATAGCAGTTACTGTGACGTCGGATTTGTGTAAAAATAAATCCAGGATGAAAGGTTGATTCCGCTAGTGTTCTGGTGATTGTGAATGTACCTCAAAAATTTATTTTTGTATTTAGTCTCTAATATTGTACATAAATATTTGTCTTCATTAATAATTATTAGCATCAACAAGTAATTTAATAATGACTATAATCTCACTATAATTTCGTTTTTGTTTATAATATATATAATCTAGTGACTCATACTTTAATCATTCTCGATATCTGTGTATTAGCTACAATATCTGTCAGAAAAAATTATATAAATTTCCATTATCAGATTTCTATTTTTCAAGTGATGTCGGAAGCGTTGAGTAAAAAATTTTCGTCTCCATTTATACTTGTTATCAATTCATAAAATATACGTTACTTATGAATACTCATTTAACATCATTCTAAAACACAATGAAAGATATTCCATTGTTTATTTCTACACTATTTCATTTTTCTCTCTCCGCCCCATGGGCACTAAGAGAGCATTTTTTTTTTTTCAGAATGTCCTCTTATCCAGCACACAGTGGAGGCGGTCGAGTAACACGACATATTTGGGATAAAAAGTTCCTGTTGTTTTCTGCCCGAATTAAATACCGGCTCTAATGCCGGCATTATATCTGTATTTCACTAGAAGGAAGAATTTGTATAATTTAAAGATATAAAATATATCCAAACATATTGGATAACGAAGTGTTTTAACGTGATGATCGTTGGCCTTTGTATAGTAGTAATAAAATAGTGTTAAATATTATCATAACGCTATTTTATAGTAAAGAAAATGTAAATTACAATTTATAACTGTATTAACTCTATATTAATTAATCAGATATAAATTATTGACAAACTCAAAGATAAGATAATTTTTTCTTATGCCTTTGTATACATTTAATTTTTTATTTTATTTATTTTTATTTTATTAAAATTAATTTTAGATACCAGGTGGTGCTGATGCGAAAATTGATATTGGTATGGCTGGAGGGGCGACACAATGACGCTTGATAGTGGTTTGTAATGTTTCCAAAGGTTTTGAATCTTTTCTGCAGGCTTTCTCGAAAGAAATATCTCTGATATAGGTATATTATATATTTAATAAGTGCAATAAACAATGTCTAATTTATGCAATGTTTTAATATTTTGAATTTCTTAAATCTTCATGTTTCATAATATGTAAACAATATTGGATATATTCACATATTAAAAAATAACTATTTAAAATGTATTTGTTAACATATAAAGTATTACTGAAAGAAATCTGATGTTTGCAATTACCTGAATAAATGCAGTTTATCATATACAATATACATATAAAAATAGAAGGAATATATATATATATAAATATTTGCATATAATTAATACACTATTAATTTGAAAACAGCTAGGTGAAAGTAATTAAAACTAATGCAGAAATTTTGGTACTTTATTTATAGAGATAATGGTGGTTCACACAATATATATAGCAGCATCAAACAATTAACAATTATGTTTTAGTTAACTGTGCAGAAACTTCATTTTTATTGCAGTATATATATACTGCAATATATATATATTATATATATACACGAGGAGTATACTATGAAATATTATAGATAGATATTTCTCGTATAGATACTTGTAATACAAAAAATTGCTGTTTATATATAGTATTATGTACAAAGTTAGGTCTGCATATTGTAAACATATATGTTTATATACAATTTTGTATACAGTACATCAGACAGATAGATATCTTGTAAAATATATGTAAAAAAAAATATGTTTTAGAAACACTTATTTAGATATATATGCAAAATATTCTGTAAAATATCTTTATAATAATTAAATTTGAACTATACATTATTATTGTTTTTTAAAATCTGTAATATATTGCTAGCATAAACAATATATAAAGCTGATACAATAAGTTTTTCCAGGTAAAATTTTATTATAATAACTGGTACAGAAAAATAGCTTTTTTATTTTGATCTAACAAGTCAAATGACATTGCAGTGAAATCTTCCAATCAGCTTTTTTTCTTAGATACTCTAATTGATAGTTCTGCTATGTGACTAGTTTATGAAGTCAATGACATATGTTGCTGATAATGTCAAAATAAAGAAATATCTAATCTTATTTTTTCACTTTGAGAATTATCCTTTTATTTTGTGTTAAGATTTTAAATAAAACATTTATTTTATATATAAATATATANCGTTTCTTTTTAAAATATATATATATATATTATTTATTTATGTAAAGAATATGTTTAGTAATTTTACTTATATTAAGTAAAATAATTAAATATTTCATAATTTCTTTTTAATTAAATATATTCAAATATTACAAACTCGTTCTTTGTTCATAAATATGTATAAACCAATATTTTCATTTAATT